GTTGGTAATAGTTAAATGTATAGCTTGACTGTTTTATAGCCACTTGAGAGAAGGCCGTCAAATCCGTAACACCCTATTTCTTAAACAAAACTTTCTACGGTCTACGGTATCAAAAACCATCTTTGCCTTTATAAATAAGAAGTCATTAATCATATCGTAATCTATCAATATTGAAACCATAATCAGTTGTCATGAGGGTGAAAGTGCAAGAACGTGCCTAACTCAGAGTATGTGTGGGTGAACAAACTAAAACGAGATTGACTCTGAGTAGGTGGGCCTAAACGGAGTATAACCAGGTTAACTTGACGTATATGTCGGTCAACCAGAAAACACGAAGTTAAAATTTGGTAGATAAGGGTAAACGTGGTTAAACGTGGCTAACTCAGGGTAGATGGGGGATTATGAGGTAGAACGTGCTTTCCTGAGGGTAGATGAGGGCGAACGTCGTAGAACGTGGGCTAACGTGGTAGAAGATGGTTGACTTAGGGTAGACGGGGGTGAACGTGATAGAACATGGTTAACTTACGGTATATAGGGGTGAACGTGGTTAAACATGGTTAACTCAGGGTAGATGGGGTTGAACGTGGTACAACATCGCTAACTTAGGGTATATGGGGGTGAACGTGGTTAAACATGGTTAACTTAGGGTAGATGAGAGTGAACGTGGTAGAACATGGATAACCTATGGTAGATGTGGATTAACGTAGTAGAACATGGCTAACTTAGGGTAGATGTAGGTTAACGTGGTAGAACATGCCTAACTAAGGGTAGATGTGGGTCAACGTGGTAGAACATGGCTAAGTTATGGCAGATGTGAGTGACTGTGGTAGAACATGGTTAACTTAAGGTAGATGTGGGTCAGCGTGATAGAACATGGTAAACTAAGGGTAGATGTGGGTTAACGTGGTAGAACATGGTTGACTTAAGGTAGATGTGGGTTAACGTGGTAGAACATGACTAAGTTATGGTAGATGTGGGTGAACGTGGTAGAACATGGTTAACTTAAGGTCGATGTTAGTTAACGTGGTACAATATGGCTAACTTTAGGTGGATGTGGGTTAACGTGCTTCAAAGCTTCAGTTTTCTTGCTATTCAATCGGAGACCAGAAATCTCGCGGAAAAAGTCTAATATTTGTAAGGAGGTTGTTAAAGAGGCGGGCGATCCATCTAAAACAAGGGTAGTATCATCCGCGTATTGACTGATTTTTACTTCTTGCTCGTTTATTTTTATGCCCTTAATGTTCTTATTTTGCCGTATTGTTTCGGCTACACAGAGAATAAAGAGATACGGAGAGAGA